AAAAAAAAAAAAAAAAACTATTATTAAATTATTATAAGGCTTTAATAAAAATATGTTTATATATTAAAGGGGCTTACTTTAATATAACTTCTTACTTAGCCTATAATATTAATAAGGCTAAATTTAATTTATTTAAATCTATACTTATATTAATTAAATTTAATAAAAATAATAATAAAGGTTAGCTAATAGTATTAAGTAAAAGTAATATATATATACTAAAAGTATTTAAAGAACTAACCTATAGAATTTAAATATAATAATAATTATAGAATTACTTATAAAAGTAAAAAGCAATACTAAAAAGGTATAGAAGTTTTTAGGTTGTAATTTATTTATAAGCAATAATAACAAGGCTAAATAATAGTGTTATTCTTTTAAACTAAAGGTATTAGCACAACCAATCCCAAATCTTCCCCCAGATCGTTGTTGGCTTCCTGTCTTCCCAGATAACGGCATCAATCGCAGCCTTATCGCGATGCAGATCAGCCTCAGCGGGTTGAACGGATTTCGTTTTCTTAAAGAACTTCCAAAAGAAAAAGAGAATGGCTATAAGCAGGATACCGATATAGGAAGTGACGAAGCTGCTGGCATTCCACGGAGTGAAGGTCCAAAAGCCATTAAAAATAATAATAACGCCAAAATAAAACATTGAGAAATAGGCCAGGTAGGGTTGGAAGGGTGCCTTGAAAACAAGTGATGATCTGTCTATGCCTTGGGCCTTTAGGGCACTGTTAAATCTGACATAAATAAGGCAGATAGCGAACCAGGTGAAGAGCGATGACAATGTAGCTAGGTTTTGAAACCACGTAAAGGCTATGCTGCTGCTAGCAGAGCATGAGAGATACGAAAGCAAGGAGATGGCCGTAACTAGTAAGACTGCTACCCATGGCGTACCACTAGTAGATAATTAGTATATACCTAAAGTTTAATAGCAGAGGTTAACTTACTTTTTATTGCATTTCTGGAAGATCTTGGGGGCCTGTCCGTTCTTGGATAAAGCAAAGAGATATCGACTTCCGTTAAAGGTCATGGCATTTGCAGCGGAGCTGGCAGAACTCAAGATAACCGCGTTGATGATAGATGGCAGGACCTTGATCCTGGCATGAGTAATGGCAATAACCCAGGGTGATGCTGCAGCACCTTTGGACCCATTTGCCTGAGCACTGAGTAGCTGCTTATCGTTCGATGGGACCAGCACACCAACGGCTAGAGCACCAAGAACATAGAAAAATAAGATTCTCCAAAAGACTCGGCGAACAGCCTTAGGGATGTTTCTTCGTGGGTTTTTGGCCTCGCCTCCAGCCACAGCAACGGTTTCAATACCACCAAAAGAGAATGCAGCATTTACGAGTGTCGAAAAGAAGCCGAGGAACCGCCCCAGGTCACCGGTCGCAACGTACTCTTTCATAGCTCCCGGATTCTTCCAGTAGCGGAATCCAAGACGGCCTTGCCCAGTTGCACCGACATCGAGAAGGAAAGCTAGCAAGATAAGACCAACGATCGCGATGACCTTGATTCCTGCAAAGTAGAATTCGACTTCTCCATAGACTGAAACGGCAAAAAGGTTGATGGAGGCCACCAAGATGATAAGGATCGTGATCCAGACTGCAACGTTGACACCTTGGGCCCCCTCCCAATACTGTATGACGACCGAGACGGCGGCAATCTCGGCGCATAGAGTTATGACGCAGTAATACCAACTCTGTGAGTTAACTAAGCCTTAGCCCAAGCACAAGGAAAGGATAAATTAGTGAGGAAATGAACTTACATTCCAACCAATGGCAAACCCCAGGGCAGGGTCTACCCAACGGTCTGCAAACTGAGGGATTGCTCCTGGTAGGGGAAGCCAGGTGCACATTTCACCCAAGCTTTGCATCTGTAGGAAAGCAACAGACGTCAGTCAATGATATTAAATGAATATACACAACTGCTGACATACCATGCAGAAAATGGCTGCACCTGAGATAGTATATCCCAGCAGAAGACTAAGCGGGCCAGCCTGAGTCAAGGCACGGCCAATTCCGAGGAAGAGACCGGTACCGATGGCACCGCCGAGGGCAATGAACTGAACATGTCTACTTTCGAGTCTGTATCGGTCAATAAGAGTCTCAAACATCACTTGGGACGAGATGAGCCATACTTTCTTTCCAGCTCATGGTACTCTGTGGAGGTACCATGTTCAAGGGCTGGTTGGGACTGGAAGGACTCCACCTTTTCCGTTGATTTATCCATAATAGAGATATTGAGGTGTTTCTTTCTTGGTTTGAGTGGTGGCATGTAGCTTAAGAATCTGGCGATATTGCCACTTTAAATACATAATTCACTGTAGCTTGTCACAGTAACCCTGGGAAGATAGGCTACCGGCGACAATACGTGCAGGAGTTGGTATACCTGGTACAATCGTCTATCACAAGATAGGGACGATAATAAACTTTCCGCGGAAAACTAAATATCCCCGCATTCTCGTTATCATAGTTCCGGGGTAAAGGCAAGTGTTATGGTCTAGAACACGCCACCTCACTTGAAGGCACAGCTTATCTCGGCTGGGGCTCCGACTAGCCGTTAGACAGAGTGATTACCGAAGACTGGAGCGATATGCTGAGCTTTCACGGTGCCGAGTGAATGATTTGTAAGATGAGCGTGCAAGTAAAATTGAAGTCATGCAATCGATTACAGGGATAAACAGATTTAGATGCAATTGCGGTGAAGTATGTCGTGTATGAGATATTAAATGTCTAAAATATTATTATTATTAGCTTACTTTGTTCTTAGGATTCTCTTGCCTATTATTATTTTTACACAATCCTTACGTTAAGGGATAAACAAACTACAAGTCTATGACTCAATAAGCGACTCTGCCACTAATAAACGATGGAAATTGTTGAAGTATTAAAAAAGCGAAATGGATATCTAATCATGTATTGTTGACATTAGTTGTTTATTTCCTTCGTCTAGGTCATCAGGCAGCCGCTGTCATCTGACCGCGCGACTCCAACACAATCCCAAAGGACTTGTCCAGAATATCCAAGCCTTTTTCAATCTCCTCAGCTGTGACAGTGACTGCAGGGGCCAGACGGAAAACACCTCCCATACCAGGCAAGTTGACAACATTACATGACAGACCCAGCTCCATCGCCTTGTCAGAGATAACTTGGCCCAAATCCGCACCTGGAGCCTTGGTCTTGGGGTCAGCGATGATTTCGATACCCTGCAAGAGCCCGCGGCCTCGGAGATCTCCAATGCACCAATACTTCTGCTGCAGCTTCTCAAGACCAGCGCGAAGTTGCTGGCCTCGCTCATTGGTCTTTTGGCAAATGTTATCGCGTTCGACAATTTCGAGAACCTTGTCACCAACAGCGGCTGTTAGAGGATCGTTGAGATGGGTGGTGAGCCAAAGGAAGCCAGCCTCCTTGCAGCCGCGCTCGATCTCAGCTGTAGTGCTGACGGAGGCCAGGGGAAGACCGCAGCCTAGCGTCTTGGATAACGCCAGGATGTCAGGCACAACACCTTCCTCGTGCTCGAAAGCAAACATCTTGCCGGTTCGACCAACTCCGGTCTGGGCCTCATCCATGATGATCAGCATGCCGCGCTTTCTGCACTCATCTTGCATACGCTTCAAGTAGCCCTTGGGAAGATCAAGGATACCGCCAGTAGAGAGGATGGGCTCCATAATGAAGGCTGCAAGAGAGCCGACGCTCTGACGGTCAATCAGAGACCAACCAAAGTCTAGCTCAGTCTCCCAGTCCCATGAGCCATCAGGCTTTCGGAAGGGAGAGCGGTAGCCGTATGGAGCAGGGAAGGCCAGTGATCCTGGCATGGAAGGGCCGCCGCGTTTGCGACCTGCAGAGTACGTAGCAGAGCCAGCACCCTGGGTCAAGCCGTGGTAACTAGCAGAGAAGGCAACAATCTCGAACTTGCCAGTATAGCACTTGGCAATCTTGATAGCAGCCTCGGTTGACTCAGAGCCAGTGTTGAGGAAGAATGACTTCTGCAGGGGGCTAGGTAGGAACTTGGCCAGTCTCTCGGCTAGGTTGACCACGGGCTGTGTGATCATGTTGCTGAGGAGATGGTCGAGCTCGGAGACATAGTGCTTGACTACCTCAACAATCTCTGGATGGGAATGACCCAGGAGAGAGCTCATCTGTCCCGAGGTAAAGTCGAGAATCTGCTTGCCATCTGCAGTGTAGAGGCGGGTTCCCAGGGCTTTGGAAATGACTACGGGAGAAAATGGAACTCCCGTGGTCATAACATAACTGTCCGCCTTGGACCAGAACTCTGTGTTTGATGATGCCATGGTGAAGAGAGGGTTGAGCGGGTGGGATGCAATTGGTGTAGAGTGATGGGTTGGTGTTGGTTGATGTTCTAAGATAAGAGCACGGGTGTAGAAGGTGTATATAAGCTGCGGAAGTCAATCTGCACAAGCAATAAAAATCAATATCTTCGTATAGAAATTCTTCGCCCCACTGAGCAAATTTCAGTATGGAGATGGCAATATCGGAGAAGTCTTTGCCAACCATAGCGGTGCGAAGTGTTGTGCGGCGAGATGCCGCGGGAAACTCGGCGCCGCGGGAAACGTTGTCATTTGCCGCTGCACGTAGCGTCCAGGTTTGTGCCGGTCACCCACTGCTCTGCGGAGGCAATGAGTCGGAAAAAAGCTCAGTATCTGAGTCAGTGTAGTTATCCTTGATAGGGAATTAAGTTTGTGACTTTTTGCTTAGCCCAAAAATGTCTTGAAAACAGACCAAGACGTGAGGCAAATCAATGAATGTATTCCATATTTGGAGACCTTGTAATATTTTTGGGCAACGTGATGGACGATGCGGAGATAGAGTCGGGTGGCTTTTAGTAATTGTTACTAATAGAATCAGGAACGAGATAATGGAAAGCGGCAACACTTGTTCTGAGGCGTCTCTTTCACGGCATCAGTTTCTCCGCGGTATATATCGAAGCACATTTCCCCTTGGAAAGCTTATCCCTTTTCCGTTGAAGATGGGGTCGCGTGCGTAGATAGTTTACCGCAATATGGGGTAAGTAAAGCTGTTAGGCAGGAACGATGTTTATAGTTAAGTATTATAGGAGATACGTGCATAGCAGGCTGATTTGGTTTTACTGGCTTGGATAATTATTACTGATCTTTGTCTTCATACCAAAACCATTATCATGTCTGACCAGCATTTCTTCAACAACCCTTCGCAATTGGTTGATTATGCACTTGAGTCTTGGGCTCTGATCAACCCATCACTTGAGGTCGACCACGTCAACAAGATTGTGTATCGACGGGAAATCAATGTAGATCAAGTCGCCGTTATTTCAGGCGGCGGCTCGGGCCATGAACCTGCATTTTCTGGCCTTGTTGGCCAAGGCTTCTTAACGGCTTCGGTGGCTGGCACCATCTTTGCGTCACCAGCGACTGATCAGATCCTTAATGGCATCATCAAGTGCAGCAAAACATCGAAGGGAGTTCTAGCTATCGTTATGAACTACACAGGAGACGTGCTCAACTTTGGTGTTGCTATAGAAAAGGCCCGCACTATGGACATTGAGGTCGACATGGTAGTCGTCGGAGACGATGTCGGTGTCAGCCGATCTAAAGGACGCAAAGTTGGCCGTCGAGGAATAGCAGGAACAGTTCTCGTTCAGAAGATCGCCTGCGCTCTTGCTGCCCAGGGAAGAAGCCTTCAAGACGTGGCGTCTACAGCTAGGTTGGCAGCAGCGAATATTGCTAGCATTGGAGTCAGTCTTGCTCACGTTCACGTCCCCGGACGATCCGATACTTCACGCAACCGCATCGAGCTCAATAAGGGGGAGGCTGAACTTGGAATGGGAATTCACAACGAAACGGGATCGAATTTTGAGAAAGCTGATGCTGCAGAACTAGTCAAAAAGATGCTGGAACAGCTACTTGACACTGACGACAAAGATCGAGCATTTCTCCAGGTGAACGCCCCGGTGGTACTGATGGTCAACAACCTGGGTGGTGTGAGTGTCCTTGAACTTGGCGCCATCACCGCTCTTGTGGGCAGACAATTGGCGTCTAGCTATAGCATCCGACCAATTCGCGTCCTTTCTGGCACGTATATGACGAGTCTCAATGGCATGGGTTTCTCAATCACGTTGCTAAACCTTGACACCATGAACAACCATCATCTATTGGAGCTACTCGAAGCACCAGCTGAGGCAGTTGGTTGGAGTGCTCTGATTAAGCCCGAATCGTGGTGTGCAGCTGATGCAACGGTTCTTAACAATTATGAGACTGGCGAAGATGAGTCCAAAATCAGAAAGAGGTCACAGATCGAGAACGCTGATGACGTGGGGACATATGACGCCGCCAAGGCTACAAACGCCCTTGCCAGCGGATTAAGGAGGCTTATTAAAGCGGAGCCAGAGATCACTCGTTACGACACTATTGTCGGCGACGGTGATTGTGGAATAGGTCTCAAGAGAGGTGCTGAAGGTGAATTGTTCTCTCTTTACATGGGTCCTGGTACTGATTGTTTTTGTAGCTGTTTTGCACCGCGTTCTGGACCAGCCTCTTGTTGGGAGCGCCGTGTCAGACTTGACTACTATTTTACCAATAATCGAGACTTCTATGGATGGAACTTCCGGAGCTCTCTATTCAATATTCCTCAACGCCCTTCTGCACGCCTTTCAGAGCAGAGGGCCAGGACCAGCAACACCTGAGGCTTGGGCCTTCATGCTTGAGCAGAGTAGCAGTGTTTTAGCTAGATATACACCAGCGCGTATTGGCGACCGTACTGTCATTGATGCTCTGGAGCCATTTATTCAAGAGCTCGTCAAAACTAACAGCTTGGTCCGAGCAGCAGAGGCTGCGAAGCATGGGGCAGAAACAACTGTAGGTATGAAAGCTAGCCTGGGACGGAGTGTATACATTGGTGGTTCTGGGTTCCAGCAGGTGCCGGATCCTGGGGCTTGGGGTTTGAGTGAATTTCTTGCTGGGCTTGCAGGCTTAGATATCAATTAGTTTAGTTTACTTATATAAATCTTTACTTTTAAACTTCAATATTTCTTATAATTATTTCAACTTTAGCTTAACAAACACCGCTAAGTTAAGATACGGGTTTAACTACATAGACTATCTAAATGCTTCTTAGAGCCACTGAAGTTAGTTGCCAAATCTAGTATGCGTAGAAGAGCCTCTCTTCATTGTTTGAAGCCCGAATCTTGCGATTCTCACGGATGAGCATCCATCTAAGCACCCAAGCCAGGACAGCCGAGGCAGCAGAAAAGGCGGCACTGCTGGACATGGCGACAGGGTACATGGGCTCATCTGAACTCGGCCAAAGATACTAGATGATGTCAGTCGTAATCAAACATCAAAGATTGATAAACCTACTGGGGTGTAGATGGGACCAAGTGTGGCAACGGTGTTTGCTAGAGCGAGAGAAATAGCCTTTTTCTCTCTGGTCTGACCGCATGTGCTCGCGACCCAACCGAGGATAACGCTGTTACAGGCATAGACGCCACTGGCAAAGACACACATTGCGAAATAGCGAGCGCCAGTGTTGTGAACCGTGCAAGCTAGTATGAAGCCAAAAACAGCCATCACTTTCGCAATGGTGATGTGCCAGGTTCTTTCGTTCATACGACCTGTTTTGCTGTCAGGTGGTGCTCGAGTCGATTCGTTGCGGGAAACGTACCAGAATTTGTGGCCCATGCAATACAGACAATACCAGACACGATATATGGGGGACAGGTCAGAGCCAGCGTAGTGTTGCGGTCGAAGCCGAGTGTTCCCACGATGGTAGGAAAGAAGTTCTTAAAGTTGCTAGCAGCCATGTGAAAGTGCTGCATGAAGACGAGGACCCAAAGTCGAGGATCCTTGCAGGCATCGACAAGTCCAGCAAAGGTCGTCGTATTGTTTCGGATCTGTACAGTATCGGCAGCGATGCGCTCATGGGCCAGGACCCTCTCTTCCTCCATGAGCCAACGCGTGTTGCTGGGCTCATCAGGCAGAACAAATGCTGAAGCGAGGGAGATAACAAAGGTGATGATTCCCTGAAGTATGAAGAGCCATCTCCATCCGGCGAGACCTGCAACACCGCTCATTTCAAAGACGCCAATCGCAATGAGTCCTGCAAATGCAGTTCCGCAGATGTTGGCTGTGAACAAGATAGAGATACGAGTTGCTATCTCTTTCTTGGTATAGAAGATCGAGAGGACGTAAAGCGCGCCGGGATAAAAAGGGGCTTCGGTAACGCCGAGAAAGAATCGCGTGAGGACAAGGCCTTTGAAATCATGGCAGATTGCAGTGAGAGTGCTCACGACGGCCCAGAGAGCCATGGCACCAGACATGTAGAGGGAAGGTCGGATTCGAGTCATGAGCATGTCTAAGTGGTCTATCAGTTGAAGCAGCAGCTGACGAATAGCACTCTACTTACTTGACGGGATTTGGCCAAGAATATATCCGACAAATAAGATCGAGACGCATGTCTGATACTCTGTAGAAGTCAAATTGAGCTCCTTCTCTAAGCCATCCAGGCGAGCAACGGTGATAGCGTTGCGATCAAGGTAATTGAACCAGTACATGATCCACAGAATCGGAAGAATGATCCAATCCAGCTTCTTCACAAGCTTGATCTCAGCTGGATCGATCTTTTTGTGTGTACCGGTCTCGTCAACCGCCGAGAAGATGTGGGTTTCATGCTTCTCGAGGTGATCAGAATGTCCCTTTTCTTCAACATCAAGGGCTTCAGCGTGATTCTTGTCTTGGGCATTGGACATGTTGCAAAGAGGTAGAGAAGATTGAACCGTGGTGTTTGATAATTTTCGCTGGAAACGGCGAATGGGCTGCCATTAATATAGATACTCGATCTTCTCCTGGATCGTGGCGGCGAGTTGTCTTGCTTGGATTACCAGTGCCCTAGTTACCCCAGATTACCCCGCGTTACGATGGCACTATTGTTTTGGTTGGGATGGCAGCTCTGTGAACAAGGTTCAGCCTTAGCGTCGTAGCAGCTACTTGGCCACTGCACACACTTTACTGGCTAGTCTGACTGGGGATCTTTGAAAATCAGGTCACCACTACTGCTCGCGTTGGCCTACACAGAAATTTCAGATGCCCAGACCTAGATGCCATCTTGAGAAAGTCTACTCTTTGACAGTAAATACCAACTGCAGCTTCATAGTCGCGGCATCATACGCACTATCGTCAAAACAAATGATTAAAAAAGCATTCGCGAATTGCAACATCGGTTGATCTTTTCCATTCGGCGGTCTTGGCCAGCCACAGTTTGCCGCCCCTCTATATCGGATACAGGCGGATGCCTCCGGACCGCCGTGGTAACCGGGGACTTATGATCTAGAACGTCGGTGGAGACTTATGCATGGTGAGCCAGACTCAATGTGAGATCACTAAATGTTGCAGCAAACCTACTGAGTGGTTCAATCAATAAACAGCCCTTGGGGGGCAAGAAAACAGCAAACCTTACTGTAGGGTGTTAAAATAAACTTAGCAAAAGTCATTCTAAACTTAGGCTATATTACCTCAAGTCTTTTTATCATTTAGGATCGAGGTCTTGTGTTTTCTTTCCTCCCCAAGCTAGTTCTGCTCTAGTGCACTAAGATAGTTAAAACACACTACTCGCTCTGGAGATGTTCATGTCTGAATATTGAGGCTAAGCAAAACCAGTCTCGCCCTGCACAAGCTCGGGCAAACTCCACAAGAAGTTTAAGGCGTCAACATCCAATCCTAGAGCAACTTGATCACTCCCTTCACCAAAAGGAGCTATGCTTGAGTCAAACGGAAGAGAGACCCACGTATCCCCCACATCATAGTTCATCATTGACCCATCATCTCCAAGTTGTTGAGAATCCAGACCAGACAAAAACGAGTTTGTACCATCCATGCCAGTTTCTACTTCACTCGCATTCCTCGGGATTGAAGCCCGCCCACTGTGATTACCAGATCCTAGACCTCTAGACTGTGTAAGATGGGCTCGAAACTGTGCAGTATGTTTCTCGATGAGATCCGCATATCTCAACGCAAAGTCCATGTCATCCGCAGGACACTGCTTGAGTGTTGATGTGCATTGATCTAAAGTGTACAAAGCGTCGTTCACATCCGTATGGGTGGAGCCAACGCTGAGAGCCTTGAGAAGAAACACAGATGAACTAATGACGCTAATCTTGACACGTGCCGGTGCAAAAGGAAGATGGTCTCTGAAACCACTCATTGTTGCGATACGAAGAACCTTTTTAGTGTCAGAGACAACCTCTTGGAGGAACTTGGCATCTTTAGGGGTTATGAATGCTGATAATGCTTCATCGGAGTTGGCGGTGGAGGCTGTGAAGCCAGCCGAGGAAGCTCGGGCTACTACAGCTTGGATGGAGATGGCACCTGTACAGGCTTTCGTATGATGGAATTCGACCAACAGGGTGTCTTTGAGCGGTGAAGCGATGTCTTGTGACTACGTTAGCAGAGCAATTGATCGAACGCCAGAGATTTATTACCTTGGCTCATGCTGTTAAATTTGTCCTGCCACTTTAACAGAGATAGGGAAAAGTGTTCAAGGAGATCTACATAGTGGTCTCCGAGCACTTGTGTTTGGAGATGGGCTGCTGAGTGAAAGAACATTGACGATGCTGTACGCGACAATTGGGTAAGCTCTAAACTCAGGTCCATATAAGACATCCAGGACTGGTCAATCGGTTCATCTGTTTCTTGCATGGATAGACGAGATGCAACCACAGAAATACTTTCTGGAAACACAGAAGGGTAGCCAAGTCTAGTCGCAGTCTGGGTCAGATAGTTGTAGAGGAGCTTCTGAGCTCGACGGCTGCGAGGTATTTCACCATGCACCGGATGGCCTGTCTGCCCTGAGAGTATCCCAAGTTCATAGCCGAGATTGTTAGCCATACCGAGGAGCATCCAGGACATTCTATTCGCCCGCTTGGCTGGTTCAAAGACATCTTCTCGCCAGCGAATAAGCGGAACTTCGTTGTTGATATGCTTGCGGTTGACTCGGTCGTACCCAGGCGTCACTAGTAGGCCATCCCAGCCATCCGTCTCGGGAGGGAGATGTAAAGCACGAGGGTGCCAATCGGATATCAGAATCAGACTCTCTATTGTGCCGATGGTTCTTGTCTGGGAGGTGGACGTTTTCTCCTGGCCCAGCACGATGCGTCGTATAAGGACTTCACAGTGACTCCAGAGACGCTGATGGACATAGTGGCTTCTAGATGTACCGCCTGCACCCGGCAGTGTGAAGAACCGGGACGAGATCATGAGTAGGGTGCAACATAGCATGGCTTCCCTGTAAACGAGGTGCTCATGAGATGCATGACTTCGAAATTGGTCAAGGACGACAGGAGACAGTGGGGCAAGCTTCTCAAAGAAGCTATTGTAGTTAGTGCGAGGATCAAGGGTACAGACATGGCAGTGAACTCACAGGTCGATGTAGGTGACAGCCTCTTGTGCCGTGAACCAACCCTGGCGAACGAAGCGGCATTTGTCCCACATGTCTAGACAAGCATCATCTGGTTCTGAAAGAACTGTAATGGTGAATCCAACTCCATTAGATCCACCAGATACGACCTTGGGGCTATCGGACTGAACGTTGCTCGCTGAAGGATGCCCTTGAGATGGCGCTGAGCCCGCGATGCTGTGCTGTCCTGCAGCGCTTGACAGGAAGTCCAGGGCATCATTAGTTCCAGTAACTATTGTCGACTGAACTCGGTTGTATAGTGGGTGATTAGTATTGTTTGGTGACGAAATGAAGCCAAGCTCCCTCGAAGGGGAGTGATTCGCTGCCTGAACGGATTGATCGGCGGGCGCAGCGTCCACGGCATTCACATTCCCACGGGTCCATTTTGGGGCATCGCGGTGCTTCGGGGCCCTGGGCCGGCGATCAAACCGACACTCGCGGTGCTCCCTGGCACATTTAGCGCAGGGAGGGTTGTCTTTAATGATGCATCTTGATTTGCGCGCTCGGCACGAGACGCATGCGACGTAGCTGCGCTTGA